AAAACAATCATGAAAATAACCCTACATGATATCTACCCCACATGCTTATTATTCCTACCCGGACATGATCTCTATCCCGCAAGTTGATTTTGAACAAGTCCTAACCGCATAAATTCCTAGTTCACATGTTTTGAACAGAAAGTAAAGCATGAAACAAAACACCTTAGGGTTTGGAATAAGGTTTTGGGGTGGGCTCTAATTCTCCATAGCCTCTCGGTTTAGGTTCTAAAAAACGGTACCCGAGTTCTCCTTGCCGGTACCCCCTTGGGCTTACTAGACCCTTAGTCCTAAGCCCATTACAAGCTCGTGTGGATTAAGTTAAACTCGAGGGGAAACATTCCCTTATGCCCATACGGAGAATAAACTCACACGAAGGCATAAGGTATATGAATCCCGAAGGTTACTTGCTAGGCTCATACGGAGAATAAATTCCCATGAAGGCGTCGCTTTCGCCCCCACTTAAAAGGGTTCGGAGCTCAGGTATAGAGCCTGAGATGAAAATTTTGAAAAATCTGAAATCATTAAAAAACGTCAGTACAACTATTTATTTGAAAAATAATCAAAGATAAACAATTAGAATCGAATAAATAAATTAAAATTTAAACTTGTAATTTTCGCTAAAAAAGAAAACCGGAAATTAATTTCGGTCTGACTCACTTACCTCTCCCCAGCAGAGTCGACAAGCTATCGTAATTGTCTTTCGGTTGGGCCCCGAATTGGGCTACGACTTAAAATAATTGGGTTGGGAGTCGCCACCGACCACTTTAAAATGAATTTAAGTGGGTCGGACATCATCTTACCTGATCTGTGTTTTTACCAGAAATGTGTCGGGTTCGAGAGTCGGTTACGGTCAAGGAAGGATTAGCACCCTTGAACCGCCCTTTCGGTACCAATTAATTTGTCAGTTGTCTTAAATTAAGAAAATTGTAATTTAAAATTAAAAGTTAAAAATACGATCACAATTACTTACCTTAGATAATTTTAAAGGTGTGGCCTTTTATTTCCTTTTCGAATCATTTACAATAGCTTTGCCTTTGTATTTTTCGTGCTTTCCTCTGTATTTTGTATATAAATCGTGTCTTACAAATGGGGAGGATTACATGTATTTATAGTGAAAAACCTAACTATTTTTAAAATCTTATTAATAATAGAATCCTAATGCAACTAGACTCCTTGCTCGGTTGTTGCACGTTTGTTGGTGTGGTTGTTGCTTTAAAAGATTTGGTGGTGGAAGAGTCCTCCTAGGAGAGAAACTCTTGTTAGTTCTATCTTTTAAGAAAATGGGTGTCTACAAATATAATTTGCATTAAGTCATCAACATAGTTGCCTTTATTCTTATGTTTCATGTATGATGAGATTAGAGCTTGCAACTACGTAGGGGATATTGAGAAAGAATAAAATCCACATAGTTGCCTTTACAAATGAGTTTAGACATTCCCCCACATAGTTGGGGGCTTCAATCTCATCCCGCATGAAACGAAAGAATGATGTATAAACATGAGATTTTGAATTTTTAGGATCAAGACTAATTTGATAGACTTTATCAATGTGGAGGGTTAAATTTGTAAATGTGGAAGGTTGAATTGATAAAATTTATAATTGTGAGGGTTGAATTATTAAATTATTTAGTATCAAGGCCATATTAGTAGAATTTATAAATGTTAAGTATTAGATGTATGATTATATTAAATAAAAAACTGAATTACGTTATCAATTTAATAGTGAGATAGTAAGTTTTTTATTAAGCTAAGATGATTACAAAGTAGTATATATTCTAAATACTATCAATCATTTGACAATGAATGCTCAATCACCCTGTTGCAGTCGTTGGTGCTCGGACTCATGACCTCTGAAAACAACAACAATTCCTTTAAGCACTGAGGTAAGTTAGTTCATATAGAGAGTAAGTTAAAAATGCAACCATATTTACTAACTTTATAAATTTCACCTAAGTAGCCAAAGGATTAAATCCCACTAAAATATCTATTGAACCCATATTTCACAAAATGAATGACATGCCACTCAAATTGACCCTTAAAAATCTATAAATGTTTTCCAATAAACCCACAGTGACCTCGCCAAAATTAGTACAATATTAGGGTTCGTTTGTTTCGCTGTAATTGATTTTTAGAAAAATAATTTCTGAAAAATAAATTATTGTTTTTGGAGAAACAAATTCTGGAAAATATTTTTTGGTGTTTGGATGATGTAGTGTAATTCATTTTTCGTTGTTTGGAATTTTTTTCTAAAAATATTTCTTGAAATATATTTTTAGTGGAACAAATACAATGAATATTTTATGGATTTTTATCTTTATTTCTTATCAAGTTAATTTTATTATTATTAAAAAATATCACTAATGATATTTTATAATTGTAGATAATATGAATAATTTTATGTCGATTGTGTTATAAATATATTGTTTTTATTAATTATGAAGCTATTTATATTTTTTTGTTTATCTGACTCTTTTAAAAAATATACTTTTAAGTAATACGATTGAAAGGAATGAAAAACTTGATAATTACCAATAATCACAAATATATTAACAGGTTATTGAATGATAAAAAAATGTAAGAAAAAATAAAAATGAACTAATTTGAACTCCATTATCTCCATCATCTCATATTGTTTAGATGAAAAATAAGGCATTACCTTCAATTTCCACTCACCCTATCAGTTTTTCTCTTCGATATTGTTCTTGTTACATTGAAAACCTCTTGGCGTTAGTGTAAGCATGATAGTTAGATTTTGTAATGCAAAGTCCAAGCTGTATTTTTTACTCTTCAAAATCTTTAATGGATTATTTACTATTGCAGTCCCTCTACCATTAAACTCTCATAAGAGCCCTTTTTCTAACCTCAAATGGACCCAATTCAAGTCCAACCTGCCTAAATGGTCCAAAAGATCTTAAATTGGCCCAAGGCTATATAGAGTCAATTCTCATATCTTAATTTAAAATTTTGAGTTTACATTTTCCTTAATTTTAAACAACTACACAGTCTTTTTAATCATACTGTCACCTTATCTATTTTTTTCATTGTTATATTTAATCTAACGGTAAATTTTATACTTGGTTTTAAGTGCTCTATCATCTAACAAGTAAATATATTGTGCATACAATAACAAAATATAAAATAAAATGGTTTGTGGGAAAATGGAATGTGATTGGTTGTTTTATAAAAAAAATTATTTGGTAGGTGAAAATCTGTAATATGATTGGTTATTTTAGTAATTGTCTCGATTACCGATTACTGACATCGTCGGCAAGCTAATCAAGTGCACGGAGAGGGGAGGATGTCACCGGATGCGACAATGCGCACGACTTCCTCAAGTTATCAACATTATAAAATGATACTAGTGGTTTTAAAAAATGGCATAATGCCAAATTTTACCTCTAATGTGAGATAAAATACTCACTTTGATCTATATATATTTTTAATATTTTAACTTTTAATATTTTATTTTATGATAAAATGTCTTCAATTGAATAAAAATCAATTAATCATTTAATAGACTGACTGCTAATATTTTATAATAAATAATTATATATATTGATTTTATCACATCAACGTATATAACTATTTATCATAAAAATCAATCAATCATTTAAATCGCCATTAGATACAAACGACTTCCTCAAATAATCAGCATTATGAGACGATAATGGTGGTTTTGAAAAAAAACCACCCATAAGAAATTGTCTATGTGATAACAACCTTTGGTAGGACGTTGACAAGTTTTGAAAAATGTTATAAAAAAATGGAAATTGTCACCAATTATTTTTAAGTGGGATTGGACTACATAAAATTGGATAATTTAAATAAAATTTAATTTTACTAAGTATCAATTTTGGCTAGCGAAATCAAAAAATGGGTTCGGGAGTCTATTAAATGTGGGGAATGATTAACAACCTCACAACGCTCAAAATTAATACCTAGTTGATTATCTATTGCCTTAAAATTGAAAATTATGAGTTCGAGATTCTATTTAATTTATGACCGTCATGTAAGTAAATTTGAAAATGATATTTATGTAATTACGAATTAATAATAATTATTCCAGGTACGAGCAGAGCTTTACCATTAATCTCATTAAATAAAAATTGTTTAGTTTTAAAATCATGATGCAAGAATTTAAAAATGATGACGATTTATTTTTCAAGATAATAATAGCCACCCAGAACACAAGGGGAGGATACACTATTAAAACCTTAATAAATAAACATTTCTTTTATTTTTTTAACTAAATATGCAATAAAAAACCAATTTTTAACCTTTTTATGCTAATTGGTTAATTAAGGTTTTATCTAACTAAAGTGTCAAATTATGAATTTTAAATGACTAAATAAAATTAATCTTAAATTTGAGTATCTAATATTAAACCTAAAAGATTTTAAAATTTTATTTGAATAATTAAATTAGAACCCCATGCACAAGTAGATACTATTTTAACTATCTTTCTAATTTAGATAATTAAATATTTACTAGAGACTAAACCTAAAATTAAGGCTTCATCTAATTCCAGAATAAATTATTTAATTATATAATCTAATTAAACTAAATCTAAAATTAAGGTTTTAAATATTAAACCTAAGTAAATTTTAACATTTTAATCGAATAATTAAAATAGAATCCCGAGCACAAGAAAAAAACTACTTTAAAAACTCTAATAATTACTAAATGAGATACTAATTTTTATGAGAAAATCTAAGGGTCCAATCTAAAGCGATTATGTAACCCCCTAGACCTGGCCTGAACGTTATGCCCAAAATTAGGAGGTTACATATCTTATTCAGAAATTTCTTTTCATATTTAAAATAACGTTAAAATATGAAATTAGTCATAAGAAAGGTTCACACGATAAACATTTATATATTAATATATACATATATCTCTGAAAAAACCGTATAATATATATATCAAAATACCTGTAATACATATATATCAAGACGGTAGCAAAAACCAGTGTTACCAAAGTATAACAAAAAAGATGCATATAGAGATATACAGTGGTACAAAAATAGGAGTAGTCAGTCCTCCTGATGCCAAGTCTGCTAGCCTACGGTTTGCTACTATCTGAAAATGATAAAAATTTACAGAATGAGCTAAAAAGTTCAGTGTCAAATGATCGCCTCAGATATACAGTGGTACAAAAAAAGCTCATTTCTTTCTTTGTTTCTCCATTTCTTCTCTCAAGAGATCAACATCAGATGGAACTTCTTTTAAATGATCTTCTATGGTCAAATTGTCTTCTTGGTTGGACTTCAGACTAATATCATTTATCCATCTAATTCTCCAATCTTTATAAACCGAAGTCACTAAAGGATGGATTTTCGAGATTATTAATCTTATTGGTTGCTTCCAAGCTTTTAATATATCCAATCTTTGTAACCTACTTTGTAAAAGTAAAATTCGACTCATCCAAACAGTGTGTCATTGGAACAAATTTTCTTGTACTAAACTACCTCAAAACCAAAAGTGGGGCATGTCTAGTTGCACTCCAAAGACCATGTAACATCACCCAATCTTAGCTTTCACATTTGTATAGAATACCCTTATGAGGTAGCTAATGAACCTTTGCAGACGATGTCAGTAGCTTTAAGATTTTTGAGAAACATCTTCCTAAAACTTCCTTAAATAGTGTTTAAGACTCTTCCTTCTAGTGAGAAAATCTTCCAAATAAGAGTAATTGACTTTGAATCTCTGCAAACAAGGCCCTTTTACCTTCTAGAAGTGACTTTGGATCCATACCATAAGCAGTGGTGCACATCCTAAAAACCGTCTCCTGTCGAATTATCAATAATAACTCAAGGATCATAAAGTCTATCCCAAAATTGCTGTTGCAGGATTAATTCATTTCCCTAGATTCTCAAAAAAAAACCTATCACTACTGAATCAATGTAACCTAATACTCTTGGAAAGATGACCAAACCATAGATGGTTACCGCAAACAAATCTCTCATCCCTTTTGATGTCGAATGACTACGAATAAATATCTTCACAATTAGTCTTGCTTTTTACTTGTTTAATTACCCATGCTTTCTCTTTTTCTATAAGCATCATAACCTTCGTAACAAAACTCTTGGGTCTGATAGACTTTGTATAAATCATGTCATTTTGAACATTGGGTATGTTCAAAAAAACAATATACTCCTCAATGGTGGGAGTCATATTTTTTTTTTTTTGTAGAAAGTGAAACACCGATAAGTTGGATTCTAGAATTGTACCATAGCTTGAAACATAGCCGCATCAGTTTTTACATTCAACAAGTCAATGATATCATCATATACTACAACAAATTTGTCAATTTATGACAAAATTTCTATGTGACGTTACGTATATCGCACAAAACATACTATAATGTGATTTTTTTTATTTTCGTCATATTTATTGATTAATGTTATATCTTTTATGACAATTTTCTAAATGGTCATTGATTTTTTTCACTATATGTTTGGCGCCAAAATCTTCCCATCAAATATTTTGGTGGGAAACCTTTTAATGGCATTTAGATAAAATAATGACGTAGAAAATCGTCTCCAATGTAAAATAAGTATTAGTGACGATTTATTATAATGACGATTCAATTTGAATTAGTGGTGTTGCACATTTGTCACTAATAAATTTTATTCGTAACAATTTAATTTGTCATATTTTATAAGACACTAAAAGTGACATTTTATTATTGTCACAAAAGTGACAATTTAATTATTGTCATATTTGAAGTTAGCTTGCTTATTCTGTTTGAAGAAGCTTTACACGTGAATCCATTATTATTTTTTAAGTTTAGGAATTGCAACTTTTTTTAATAATAAAAATATTCTTTAATATTCAATCAAAAAAATTCTTTAAAATATATTAAAAATTATTTAAAATATGTTAAAAGACATTTTCTTTTAAAATACATATAAATAAATATATTTATCTAAATTATTTTTAATAATGATTTAAATTGAATATTCCTTATTTTTAATAACTATTTTAAATTATTTAAATTTAGCTAAATTTTCTATATTTTTCTAATTTTTAATAATTATGTTTAGATATATTGGCGGTAATTTTTCAACTTCCCTCCAAATATAATTTACCTCCCCTCTAATAAAATTGAATATTCCTTATTCATAGCAGGATTTTTCTCATTCATAATAAAGCTGTCGAAACGATTTTTTCTTAAAAAGTGCGATTTTAAAAACCACACCATTTTTAATTATCTCTCTATGAGTTAATTTTAATTAAGAGTGAACGTGATTTAAAAAAACCTCTCGTTTTGAAAATTTTGGGATTTCCTTTATGATAGAAAAATATGATTCGAGGAGTCGCCACCAATCTTTGATTAGGGTGTGATTGGGCACTCAAAAATGTTTTATCATTTTAAATAAAAATTAATTTTAATTAAAACAACAAATTGAGGTCTACAGTATCAGAAAATGAGTTCGGGAGTCGGTTACGCGTGGGGAATGATTAGCACCCGCACAACACCCTAAATCGGTACTTAGTCGATTAATTAATGTATTTGCAATGAAATTTACAAACTCATATTTAATTTGATTTATGATCCCTTAAAACAACAAAAATGTAAATTTTATAACATTCAAAAACACCAATATAAATTAAATTAAAATTACCAAGCCATTAGAAAGATAAAGAATATTCGATTATTTAAAAATATTGAGACCAAATCTTTAGGTAAGTTCTAACGACCTTTTCTCAACAAATTTAAATAGTCGAACATTTCTTTTTCTTTCATTCCCAAATTTTAAAGTGATGAATCAAAATTTTAGGTGTAACTGATGGGATACACTTTTAATTTAAAATTATCTAAAACAGCTCTCTAGTTAGTTAAGACTAGCCATTTAAACAATTTTAAATTAAAATGGTATTACCCTTAATCTGATTATGTAATAGGAGTTAAGTTATGCACATGAGAGTAACATACAAATTACGCAAAAAGAATGTCATACAAGAACTAATTAAATAAATATTATGATAAAAAAAACCATGTCATGTGATATACAAAAATTATATTTATTAATTATAATATACCGTATATATGTTAGCATGTGATACACAAATGTGACTGAAATAAAAAAAAACCTCTCAAACTATAATTTTTAAAAATATATACATATTAAAATAATGATTAAATTTCAATAAACGTAAAATTCAAAATACAAATCAAAAATTAAAACAGGGATTTAAATAAAACAACATGCATAAAAATAAGGTATTTACCCGTAAATAATCCAACAAAATTACAACTAAAATTAGAGGTGTTCAAAATTCGGTTTTAACCGAATTAACCGACCGAACCGAATTAGTTCGGTTAATTCGGTCGGCCACCGAATTAATTCGGTCGGGGAACGGTTAAGGATTTTTTTGAAATTCGGTTAACGGTTAATTCGGTTCGAAATCAGTTAATTAACCGAATTAACCTTTAAATATAATTATATTAAGAGGCTCAATCCATTTAAAACTCATTTAAAACACAAATCAATATTAATTAATTAAAATAATATCAAAACTAAATGCAAAATGTTTGAATCAAATTAATTAGATATTATTTATAATTAGATATTATTTAAATTAATTGTAAATTGTTATTTTTAATTAAAAAAATATTAAATTCTAAAATTCTAAAAAATTTCGGTCAATTCGAAAATTAACCGAATTAATCGAAATTTATTCAGTTCGGTTAATATTTTCGAAAAAAAATTCGATTCGGTTAACGGTTATAGAAAAAAATATTCGATTAATTCGAAAATGGTATTTCGGTCGGTTCGGCCACCGAATTAACCGAATAAACACCCCTAACTAAAATTAAAACTGAGAAAATACCGAAATCAGGATAAAAAAGGTTAAATTCAAAATCCAGCCCTACAGGTGACTAAAGTGTAAAAGAACTTAAATTTGGGGAACTTGAAACCATTTTTAACTCTCACATTCGGTGGCTAAAAATTAATTTACCCAAAAGTTTTACTATAAAACCTAAACTAAACTAAACCTAAGCAAATCACACAGCCGCTCAAGCTCTCTACTCTCCATCTCTCTCGGCCGCTCTCCAAAGAGCCTACACTCACTCCGGCCACCTCCTAACGATGGCCACTCTAAACCCCGATCGCTACTAGACTTCAACCGAGAGGCACCCAACACCCGCTCTCTATCTCTTCTATCACTCATAGGGCTGTAAATGAGACGAGACAGATCGCGAGCTACTCGAGATTGACTCGATCAAAGCTCGATAAATACTCGGATCGAATGGACTCGACTCGAGCTCGAGCTCGAGCTCGACTCAAGTTCTTAACGAGCAGAAACGAGCTACTCGATATTCGACTCGAAAAGCTCGTGAGCAGCTCGAAAATATAATATATTAAGATTTTATTTTTTTAGAAATAAATTATTAATAATATTAATATTTATGTATTGATTTTTTTATAAACAAAATACAGTAAGATTTCTTGTATTTAAGGTTTATGTTCGAGTTTGAGTTTGAGGCTTCAATCGAGTTAAGTTTAATAATTTGTTTTCATTTCGAGCCTTTTCGAGCTGCTCACGAGCTTCAGTTTAGGATTTTGAGTTCGAGTCGAGCTTGAAAATTTTAAGCTCGCGAGTTTTCGAGTCGAGTCGAGCTTCATTTCAAAGTTTTCGAGTCGAGTCGAGCTCAGCAATACTCGAGCTCGACTCGGCTTGTTTACACCCCTAATCACTCACGCGATCATCGACCTTCAAAGGCCACAACATTGTTGGCCAAGATCCCGTAGGCTCTAACGCCACTGCTCTTCAACCGTAAATCAACCCCAATGACTAGCTCTTATTCCGGCAAGGAGTAATAACAACTAAGGTACGAAAATAAGTTTTCCTTCTAAATTTTCACTCTTCGAAACCCTTTACCCCTCTCTTATTATTTTATTCGTTTACTGAGAACATGCATAAAAAAATAAAATAATCTCTTTTCTCACGCACAGATTCCCTCAGTCATCGGTAACGGAGGTTTCGTCTAAGCATCGTGGATATTTTACAAGAAGTTCGATTGTCTTAGATAAATACTAAATCTCTTCTGATTTTTTAATTCCAAATGGAATAAAATATTGCTAAAAAAATATTAAAGATTGAAA